AAATTAATATTAGCTTTTTTCATTCTGGCTGAAAGAAAATTATTAAAGGATTAGTTGTGCGTGAAATTAAATAGTATTTTGCTTCTGCATACTAAAGAAGTGGGCTAGGGACTTGACACATTTAACAAGTTTCCCGAAAGGTTTTGATTTGGGAAAAAAAAAATTCAACATTTCCTTTGCGATTCTGACTTCGTCACTTGCTGCATGGATCAGATGGCGTAGGTTAGTGTCTGGTTTTGGAATCCCAATGAAATAACTTTCAAACGATTTGTACCCATGATTAAAGGTGGAATGAGACCCAATTTTCCCCCAATCCTTCAGTTTAAGCTCATAAATTGTAGGTGAATGTGGAATGAAATCATCTGTGATATATTATGTTCATTTACCAAATGAGCTCTTTTGATGTTGCCTGTTTTTATGTACAACACGTTCTTAAACTAATAAAGTAATATCTCTTGGTGTACACAATGCCCTTCGCTGCTGGACCAGCTCTTCGGTTTACATTGCCATCGTGGAGTAAAATTTCATTTCAGTGCAATTCAGGATTGACACATTCAGTCCAGAGAGGAATAACCCAGCTGTGTTCAGGGTTGGGGGGCAGGGTACTCTCTACGCAAGGCTTTAAAAATTAGTCATGCGGTCAGAATGTAGCTTTCCCACATGTCCTCCACAGCACAGTATGTATTTCATGAGCATAATTCAAAATCAACTATTCCAAAAATGTCCCTTTTCATATATCACCTTCCTGGCTTGGCCAGTGACTTGGACAAACACAGAGAAATCAAATACTGTTCAGCCTTGTTTTATCCATCAACCTACACGCACAGGCTCACCAGAGGAGACTGTTAGTTTAGCTGCTAACCTGTAATTAGCTGCCATTTTGTTGCCCTTCCCCACTGGGTATTCCACATGGAATTTTGACCTTAGAAAAAAATCACAGAGCTGTATGATGGAAGAAAGCTCTTTCCTACCGTGGTTTCAGTGACAGGAGATTGAAAAGTCAACCAGCCAAAGTGACTACAGGTCCCCTGCTGTCAGTTTTATAAATATCTTTTTATGAGTATCACTTTTATGATATTTTATGAATATCTCCAAGGTCTTGTAGAAACTAGCAGTCACCTTCCCTGCCACCCATGGGCTGTTGAAACACCTGTCTTCTCCTATACTCTCTGTAGAGAAGTCACTGAGACTTTTCTGGACTCTTCTGGCAACTTCTGTGAAACAATGGTTATTGACCAAAGTAATTGCTTCCTACGGACCATTATCTTGTTTTATGAGACTGGTGGCCTAGCCAAAAATCTGCCATTCAAAAACAAAGGAGGAAAGTCTTGGTCACAACTCTAGTGTTGAAGATGATAGAGCTGCCCCACGTGGGAACTGGGAAGGAACAGCCTTCCCTGACTGCAGGCCACTGGCACTGGGGATCTGGAAAGGTGTCCCAAGTTGTCTACAGAGCGGGCGGTTATGAAAACAGAGGTAAATGGGCTATGAGAAACAGGTATTAGAAGCATCATGGAATTTTTCACATCACATCTCCTGAACAAAATAAGAAAGGCTTTCCCCCATTTTAAGGGGTAGCCTGAGCCTGGTCCAGTCTCCTCAAAGAGGGGCACTAAGACAAAACCTGGGGCCACACCCAGCCAGCTGGAACAGCCAGATCCACGCTGGCCGTCAGTACTGTGACAGATGTCCAAGCCAGCTTGCCTGCACTTCGAATCATTCATTCAAGTGTTTCTTGACTGAGTGCCAGAGCTGTGGATGACACTTTATTTGGGCTTAGGGGGAAAAACAAAAAACAAAAAAACAAACATGGCCCGTTTTACTTTTTGCTTTGAGTCAGAAGACTTGGAAAACATACTTACAAAGATGGCATTTATTGGGATTTTTGGCTCAGCATTCAGATGACCTGTCTACACCTAGCAAGGCCTTGTATGTTTACAACAACGTTGATGCTTGAAAAGGTATGTCTGCCATCTGCCCTTGGGACGGTACACACACACACCCCAGGGTGCTCTTGGCCTGGCTCCTGGGCTCTGAGGTAAAAAGCATCCCAGAGTTCTCTCTGCCATCTGGAATTAGCGTAAGATTTTAGCTTCTTATCCTACTTTAACACGTTTTTTTATGTCCATTGATTCAACAAACTTAACCCAGGCCTACTATGACTGATACATAGTGAAGACCAAAAAGAAACCAAATTACCCCTGTTCATAAGACCTTCATTCTAGCAAGGAATCTTCTACACTTTGGTCGTGTGGAGCTCCTGATTTATCACTCACAGATGGCCAAATACCAGCCTGTCAGGGGCACAACATCCCTCCCAGCTTGCCACTGGCTCCCAGCATGTGTAGACGGTGTAGGCTGCCTGCAATCCAGCCCTCAGTCACATGTAACTAGATCTGCAGTCCACCCACTCTGTTGGACTCTTAGGAAGAGGAAAAGAAGGGGAGACGGAGCTGACAACACTAAAGGCGGGAGAGGCCAAAGTCGCCACAGTCTCATCTTCCGGTGCGTCGTGCGGGTGGTTGAAAAGGAAAGGAAGTGGCGATCACTTAATGAACTCTTCAAAACCAGCCCTGAGGGATGTTCTGGGTGGGTGTGTGGATTTGAAGTTCTTGGTCCCATCCACATTCTTCATCCAAGAGTACTGTGCCCTTCTGACAGAGTGAACAGTAATGGGATGCCGTAAATGGCTCTCTTTATGCACCCCCAGCAAAAGCCACATTTCTCTGTCCATTCTTTCTGGACTTTCCAGATCCCCTCAAAGGACCTATTCTTCTTACCAAACACACATAGCAGAAGTTCAGCCTGGGACCCCACATTCCCTTCCAGTGTGAGTCTTACCTCCAGTCAAGTCCCTATCATGTGGTCGTCTCTGGGGCAACTAAATATATGATTCACTATCACCTTTCCAGGTTCAGAGACAGCAGCCATCCAGTGTGATCCCAGGTGTTATAGTAAAAGCACAAATGGGACACTTGGGAATTCCTTTTAAAGACCAATTTAATTGTTGTGAGGCATTCACAGATGGCTTCATGGAAGAGATCTTGCTGTTGATCTGTTTCTGTTACCAAGCGCCACTGTCTGAGTTATCAAGAAAGAAAGACTATTTTGATTCACAGTTTTAGAGGTATTGCATCAAGGAGCCACATCTAGTGATAACTCTCTCATGAGTACAGTGCAGAGGTGACTTGGAGGGAGGGTCACCATGGCCAGAAACTGGAAGAGCACATGTATGCTCTCTGGACTCTCTACTTAGAAAGTTACCTGGATTCAGTCACGGAGGCTTTACTCTAATGACCATAAGCAATCTGAATTGCCTTTAAAAGACCCCGGCTCTTTTGACTCCCTCAATGCCTCTAATGAGGGTTGGATTTCACATAGTTGAAGCTTTGAGTCTATACGCAAGCCCTAGCAGAGTCCCTGAATCGGAGTCTGAAGAATAAGAAGGAAGTGGGAAGAAGGCATTCAGAACCATGAGAACAGTGCACAAACATTCAGGAAAACATGAATGACCCCAGCACGGGTGAGGTGGAAGCTCAGCTTAGCCCCAGGGAGACAGCAGATGGTCCAGGAGCCGGGCCTCACCAACCTACCGCTATGGTTTGAGGAAAGGGCGGGACCAGCCTATCTCACAGCTACAGGACTGCATGAAAACCAGACAACTCCATCCCAGCAGTGGCAAAGGAGGAAACTGAGCAAGAAGGCTCCTAAGGAAGCCAGCCTGGCTGCCTGGCATATACCATGCCAGAAATATAGGCAAACATGCCCGTCAGAATTTATTGCATAGCAATAAATTCATAAGGTTTATCATGTTTAATGACAGTAGTGTGTCATAAAACCCATCTGACTAGGCAGCCTGACCAAGGCAAATATGGGTTCCTTTATTCCCATCTTAATTACTAATATTAACTCTCTCATACTACACACACACACACACACACACACACACACACAGAGGTATGTATGTATGTATGTATATGAATACACGTTAAAGCAGTTGCAACTGAGTTCAAGAAGTTTCGGAAGTTGAGAAAAGGTCTGCAGAGATAAGCTAATGAACCAGACCTGTTGGTGGAAGCTGCTGGTACCAGGTTTGAGGGAGAGGCTGGAGAATCCAGCAAGGGCTGGCCTGGGTCTGGAGCAGACAATGGATCAGGAGCAGGAAACGGTCATGTCTAGGTACAAACAGGTGGATGGGCAGGCACCATAGGCTGCTCCAGCCTGTAAGGGGATGGGATGGGAGTGGAGGTTAATTAATCCAAGTGGGTGAGTCCTTGAGGCGCACATGGGTATCAGATGATAGGTTGGCATGCTGCCATGCCACCCCAGTGTTTGGTGTCCATCTCTTTATGGAGTCCAGGTGGGAGAGGTACACCCTTTCCTCCCTCCAGCATGCCAGCTAAGTTTGCGGGCTTTACTTCCCTCTACAATCTTAATGCACTTGTGCACCTCTGTAATCTCAATTCACTCCCAATAAATTTACAGGGCAACTCCCTTTCTCTTCCCATCAATAAGCCATTTATCAGTGTGGATGGGTGGTGCCTGGCAGATGGTGCAATTTCTGGGTCCACCCAGAGACTGCAGTCATCCTCTGCCTTCAAAACGGAGTTTAAAAAAAAAAAAAAAAAAAAAACCTGCTTGTAAAATGCAGTTTCCCAAGGCAAAGCACAGCCTGAAAAAAACAGGGTTTTTATACAACACAGAGTAACCTAGAGCCTGACACAGCCTGGTCTCAACACCAGTTTTGAGCTGAAATACATATTTCTCTCTCAGCGATCCCGAGGCAGCGTCCCAGGCAAACAAAAGAACCAGCCACATGTAATCTCATCCCAACCAGGAATGTCCTGCTCGCAAAGCTTATAGCTCTCTTCCTGTGGGCAAAGTATTCTCTCCTAGGTTGTTTCTCTTTGCTCTGGGAGAACAGGAAGAACGAAGAGCAGGAGGAGGAGGAGGAAGAGGAGGAGGAGGAGGAGGGAAGTGGAAGAAGAGGAAAAGCAAAAGCGGAGGGAGGGAGACGAGGTGGAGATTCACTGACCCTGAAAATCGCTCTCTCCTACCTTCTTCCTAGACAAGTCCACATTGTCACCTTTCCTTGATAGCAGGGTGATAATTAATGTTCCACCCAAGAGAGGTTTCATTTTTCCACCAGAATTACCTATTAATTTGCTAGATTCTTCTGATTAAGCAGTGAGCCTGTCAGCATGGGTTCATCATTCCGCACATCCTTTCCTTTCAACAACTAAATCAAGGCCCCAACCAACCCAGACATTTTCAATTTCCTCTCTCACCATGTGGATGTTCCCCTGTCTTTTAATAACATTTTTCAGTCAGCTCCTGTCTCCCTGAGCAAGCCGATTTTTGCTTCATAAAAAGCCGCTATTGTCTCCACCTACTTACTTCATAGAGGAAGGTAACGGTTCCCATCAGTGCCTGGAAATGGAAACCTGAAGATTCCCTGCTTGAGAGGAAGGCCTCCTGCTAACACAGGTATCCACCCACCTGTCCAAAGGCCTCCTCTTGCCCACTGTTTTGGGGGATTCTCCTGGAATGCCCACACCTTGGCATGCTTTCGCACACCAATGCGGCTGACAGGTATGGCTTCGGCATGCTGCCACAGGGAGCCATCTGACGACAGAACCTGCCCTTCTCAATGTATTGGCACAGAAAACATCTGACGAAAAACCAGGCATGGGGAAGCAACTATTGCTGTATCCCCAGTTTCCTGAATGCCCAGAAACACATTCAGGTGGGCAGGGGAGCGCCCAGCCTCCAGGCCTCCACAAACAAGTACCAGGATTGTGTCCACTGACAGGTTTTTGGAGGCCCAGTGTCAGCTACCTACAGGTCTTTGTCTTGTTTTGGTTTTTGTGTGTTTGTTTTGCCCCCCCTGAGCCAGAGTCTAATAGGCAGTAGGTGCTCTGGAGCTCAGGTGATGACTCCAGGCTTTGTTCTCAATCTGTCAGCAGGGCTTTCTGTACAGGATAGAATTTTCCAGGTGAGACAGGGTCCCGAGCATCATGGAATCAAGTCAGGATATCTACTGCCAGCTTGTGGCCCCTTCCCGGACCCACTTCCTGTCATCTGGACTCCCCTACACCATCCCCAAAGGTGCATCCACTGCCTAAAAATTACTTGACTTGTAAATATTCGTGTAGATGGGCATCATTGTATAGGCGTGCAAGTCTGCACGTATGCGCATGTGTGTTGAAGGCCGTGATGACCACCTGCGTGGGCCAGCCTCCAGCAGTGTTGACAGCCTGCTGCTGTGGGGCAGCATAGTTGTGGACATTACTGTCCTAGCCCGCTGTGCCCTTAGCAGACTGCCCCCATCCCCTCCCCCACACTCTATTGGCTCCCCTCTTCATCATTCACACCAGCACAGAGGCAGCTGCAGTAACTTTAGATTTGAGCACTCCGCCTCCCAAGTCCTGCTGTAAATCAGGAGGGCAGGGTCTGGCTCTGGGAAGGAAAGCGGGGCTCCTTTCTTCTTCTCCCTTCTGAACAAGCTGTGGGGGTTTCTGAGGGGGGTGGGTCTCCGTCTCCCTCCTTCTTCCATATGCCCATGCTCTTCACAGATCTCTGATGTGAAAGGCTGCCTGCTGGCTATTGGCATCTTAAAAATGTTTACATGTGGAACCCCCAGACCATTGTCTCCCTTCCACATGAGGCTCACTGGAGCCGACAGCCAGTTGCCCTGGTATTGACTTTCTTTCTTCCTGTTGATTTGGCTGACAGAAGAGTCTCTGCTGGGAAGTACACCCACCCCCCAACTCTGGAGAGCGAGGGGCCTTGCCGTGTCCTGTATCTGCAAGGCAGAGACTATCAGTGGGGCCCAGGAAGAAGAAGGGCATCTGTGAAAGAGTAAGCAGACTCATTGTGCAGCAGATGTGAACTCAAGACAAGCTTTTGAAATCCCACTTCTGGGCAGACATGCATTTCCTTCCATTCACCTTCAAGCCACAGGTATGAACAAAGGCTCAAAACATACTTCCTGGGTTCATAAATCACAACAAATTTGGTCCAACGTGGTCCTCCTGCTGTCTAGACTCCTGGGCAGAGATCTCTGCATAGTCATCATACAGTGGCCTGTAAACACAATCTAAGGACCCCAAACTGAGATCACAGGTCACTAACAAGGATACACGTAAGAAGATTCATCATCAGGGCTCAGACACAGCCTGAAGGCACGCTCAAAGTCTTTCTATCTCAAGAGTCTAAGCGAAGAAGATCAAGTTCAAAATCTGACATGGCAGGTGAGAATATCATGGGGACCCTGATTGTCATAGTAAATAATGAAGAGATATCAAAAGTTCAAAGACAGGTTGTGATACATGCAAATTTGTGTTTTTAAAGATGGCCTGGTGACAGAGGGGAAAGATGGTTTCAGAAGGGACAAGCATGACAAGCGGGAAACCAGTTAGGGGCCTTGTGATACTTTAGCGACAGTGAGGTCATGGTAGTTCCTGCTGTGGAGGTTTGAAGGAGAAATGTCCCCCAGAGATTTGAACACTTGGTCCTTGCTTGGCATCAATCACTGTTTGGGGAGGTTACGGAACCTTTAGGAGGTGCGGCCTCGCTGAAGGAAGTAGATCACTGGGGGCAGGCTTGGAGGGTTTTATAGCCTCACTCCACTTCTTACTTCTGTTTGCAGTTAAAAATGTGATCTCTGAGGTTGAGAGCACTGGCTGCTCTGCCAGAGGTCCCGAGTTCAATTCCCAGCAACCACATGGTGGCTCACAACCATCTGTAATGAGATCTGGTGTCCTCTTCTGGCCTGCAGGCATACAGGCAGGCAGAACACTATATATAATAAATAAATCTTTAAAAAAAAAAATGTGATCTCTCAGCATCCTGCTCTGGCCACTCGCTGCTGTGCCCACCCATCATTGAAGACTCTCACCCAGAAATCAACTCTTGCTTCTGGTCACGGTGTTTTATCACAGCAACAAAAAGTATCTCACACATCCTCGTGTGTCTCTAACAAAAGTATCTGGCAGAAAAAAATCCAAGGGAGGCAAGGTGTGTTTGGGTTCATGATTCCAGAAGGATTCTGTTCCTGTTGGTGAGGAAGGCGTGGCAGAGCTCATGATAACAGAACCTCGCGCCTGTGCCTCACATCACAGAGGACCAGAAAACAGAGAGATGCTGGAACTAGGAGCAGACACAACCTCCAAAGACCCAGCCCTAAAGGAAGGCCTACTTCCAGCAGCTAGACCCCACCTCCTACAGGTTTCCATCAGATGGGGACCAGATGTCTAAAATATGAGTTAATGGGGGACAAGTCAGATCCAAATTCTAACAGAGGTCCTAAAAGAAGCATCAGGGATAAGGGCAGAGAGAGGGATAAGGGCGGAGAGAGGGATAAGGGCGGAGAGAGGGGAACGCCATCAGGAACTACAAGGGAGGCTAAGGCGATCCCCAGCAGTCAGTGACGTTACCTGGGTAGCTTGGTAACAGTGCTATGCATGACTAAAAGGAAGTGTGTGTGTGTGTGTGTGTGTGTGTGTGTGTGTGTGTGTGTGTGTGTGTGCATCTGTGCACACCTGTGGGCTTCAGGGATGTCATAGTTTACTTTCTGTTGCTGACACAAACACCATGACCTAAAGCAACTAGAGAGGAAAGAACTGGAGCAGAAACCGTAGAGGACCGCTCCAGTTCCTGGGCTGCCTGTCGGCGCAATCCCAGGCTCACTATCAGCTGCCTTGTCTTAGACAGCCTGGACCCACCTGCCTAAGGATGGTACCGCCCACAGTGGGCTGGGCCCTCCTATATCATTTAGCAATTAAGAAAAGCCCCCACAGACATGCCCACTGGACAATCTTGATGGCGACAATCCCTTAACTGAAGCTCCCTCTTCCCAAGTGACCCTTGGTTTGTGTCAGGTTGGCAGCTAACTGTAGAGGGCATGCGGCTTTTGGATATTTTGATTTAGGTGCTTTGGAGCACCTGGGAGGAGCCAGTCACAGGTTGGGCTGTACATGGTGGTTTAGGAATGGAACCTAACAATGGTTATGGAAACTTTAAAGACTGGGCACCACCAGCAAAGGAGATGTGCATGTATGGTAGAGAAGAATACCAATCAGGGACCTCCCCGCACTGCCCTGGCAAGAGGAGACACTTGAAGACAGAAAAGACATCACACATACACCAGGAACCACCAATTTAAACAAAATGTGGGGGCTCAGGAGAGGCCATTTCAGAGAATGTGACCGTCAGTGTGAAAGTCAGCTGGGTTATTTTGGAAGGTAGAAAATGGGGTTGCAGAAGTAAATACCAATCAAGGGGAAATATCGAAGCTGCTTGCTGAGCTTGCTACATCAAGGAGTGGGCCACCAGCACTGTGTTGGGACGGAGACTCAAAGGCAGGCAGGATGGAGAGCCTTGTAGTGGTTTTTCTAGTTCACCATAAAGGTGTATCCTGATGCAAGCTGCCAGCAGCATGGGGGCTGCTGAGGGACCTGGAGAAGGGTTAGCTGAAAGGGAGACATCCTAGAGGACTCACTAAGGGGCATACTTGCCTTTCTCGGGGGAGCCCTAAGTGAGGGACAGGGAGGAAAACTAGAGAAGCTTCCAGTATTACTCAAATTAGTTGCCAAGTCATAGACATTTGGTTGAATGTTCTAGAAGTTACTTTTAGGCTTCCAGGATTGTGACCAGAGATGGCAACCTGGCTTCCTGTAAATCTGGATTATAGCAAACTGGCTTCCTGGGCAGTTTATTATAGTTATGTATTAGGGTGGTCTCCTTGATAGAAACTACAGCTCATGTGTCAGGGTCCCATTTTTTCAATACACCCTAGCCTTTACCCATTTGATCTCTCAGGAGACACTAGATTAGGCTCTTGGGAACTTAGTAAAAGTTGCAGACTTGCTGTAGGGGCAGAAAAAGAGACAACAATCCTGTATTAGAAAGGTAGGTCAATAAGAGAGAGCCGAACAATTTTCTTTGATCTTCATGTGACATGGGAGCCTTCATTCTGAAGATCCAAAGTTGTGAGACTTAGTGTCAATGAAGCATGGACAGTTGTGCAGCGTGGAGTAGGAGCCGTTGCTGAGAAGATAACACACTGGCATGCAGGACGCCATCACGGCCTGCACGTTCAGATTCCTCCAGGCCTCTGTGTGAGCACTCCCCCCTCCTAGATAATCAGTCTCCTTTCTGGAACTGGAGGTCTTGTGACCTACAATCAGATAGAGTTGATCTACGAAAGCCCCGTGGAAATTTCTCTTACACAGTAAGGTGGGATAATGCTGTAGCGATCTCTGACGGCTTAATGGTTGACTTTGGGAGGGAAGATAAGCAATAATCCAGGAATCCTCCTAGCCTCCTGAATTCTACAACTGAGAGGTAGGTTAAAAGGTGTGAGATAAGCTGGTAGTGCCACATGCCTTTAATCCCAGGACTCTGGAGGCAGAGGTAGGCAGATCTCTGTGAGTTCAAGTCCAGCTAGGTCTACAAAGTGAGTTCCAGGACAGCCAAGGCTGTTACACAGAGGATACTTGTCTCAGAAACAAAACAAAACAATAACAAAAAAAAGGTTATGAGATAATCTCACAAATAAAGTTGCAACTATAATGAGTATAAATAAGAAGATGGGATGTTCTGAGAGAATCTACGAGGGTGTTTTATGGAGGTAAAGAGGTCCTTCTTAGAGGAGTTGACCCTTGAGCTGAAATTAGGGTGAGTAGAAAGTCATTAGGCAAAGGAGGGGAGAGAGCATTTGGGGAACAGCTGTGCAGAGCTTCAGGGGTAGAAGGAAGCAAGACCGCTTGGGCACTGACCTCTGGGAAATTTAGAGAGAGAATGAGCCGGCCAGGTGGGTCTGGTGTTTATCCCTCACGTAAGCAGAAGTCGCCGATGAGTTTCAAGCAGGAGGTAGGGCTGATGTAACAACATTCCCATTTCACAAAGAACACTCTGGCTGCTTTCTAGAAAGCTAAGGAGATACACCTGTCTGAACAATAGCTATGGCTGTGATGTGGTGGCTTTTCAAGCTATGTTGTTCAAAGGAGTTTAAAAGGCCAAGAGAAAATGTTTTGGTATGCTTATTTTTAATCTAAGAAGTTTCTGTAGTGGGTGGAAGTATAAGATGGCTTATGAAATGAACTATACACGTTTACAGACTGACAAGATTTTTAAAAATCTGGTCAAAAAGGGTCAAAGGAGTTCTTACTATACTAGGTCACAAGGTGTGTGTTTTTTACTGTAAATGTGTTTCATAATCCTGTTTGTGCAATTTTTTTCAGAAAATGGATTATACAGTCTTGTGCAGGAAGCTTTTTGGCAATTCCTGGTGAATGAGAGGTGCCTTTCTCTTCCAATGTTCACTTAATGTCCCATCTTTCCATTCTGTCTCAAGAGGAGAGGTGCTACCCCCAGCGAGTGAAAGATGAGGAAAATGAATGTTTAGAAACTATTGTTAAAAATGGCTTTAACATGAGGGGCTTTGAACAACAGTGATCAGATATACACGTGTTTCCTGCCTACAGAAGCAGGTGTGTCCCATCTCAAGGCAGGTTGGTTGAGGTAACGGAGGTACATACTGACCTTAACTTAATTGTATTATTTTTTAGGTGATTTTGAAATACCCAAGAGACTCAAGTATGCAGTAGGATGTTGATCTGCAGGCCAGAAGAGTTACAATGCAGAATCATTGTATTCATTGTCTCCTTGCTATGGCAAATGTCTGAGAAAGGTTGCTGAAGGAGGGAAGGTTTATTTCGGCTCAGAGTTCAAGAGTCCAGAAAAGCTTGTCATGGTGGAGGAGTCAAGGCAACCCAGGTGTGAAGAGGTTGGTCACACAAGAGACAAACGAGCCGAAATTTAGTAGCACATACACCTTGTGCGCACACAGATGATGTCACAGGAAAAGTGAGTGAGTCTCACAGAAGTGGCTTAGAGCACAGGTTCAAATCCCATCTCCTCCCACAACGAAGGAAGGTGTTGGTGAAGAGGGGATCGTTCCAGAAGCGTCCAGCAAAAGTCAGGATGGTGGTGTAGCTCCCTTCTTTCTCCATTAGTGAGACTTGGGCTCACTCTTCTATGGAGAAGGAGGTATACAAATGGATGCTTTCTTCCCATCTCCACACAGGAGGGCCGGGATTGCAAGCAGCTCTTTTGGTTTGTTAGCTTTTGTTTGTTTTTAGTAGGACATTTTTGTTTGTTTGGTTGTTTGTTTTTATCCACTGAGGCATTAATTCTGCTTATGTTTTTTTAATAAAAGGAAAGCATGCTATGAAACGGTTTTTGTAGAATGCCAGCCTTATTGGGAATGGAGGTGCCTAGTCTCACTGCAACTTGATGTGGCCAGGCTGGCTGATATCCATGGGAGGCCTGTCCTTTTCTGAAGAGAAACAGAGGAGGAGTGGATTAGGGGGTGAGGGGGCAGGGAAGGTAGGTAGAGGAGGGGAAAGGAGGGAGGGGAAACTGTGGTCTGGATGTAAAAATAAAAACACAAATAAATAAATAAACACAGAAAGAAGGAAGGAAGGAAGGAAGAAAGAAAGAAAGAAAGAAAGAAAGAAAGAAAGAAAGAAAGAAAGAAAGAAAGAAAGAAAGAAAGAAAGAGAGAAAGAGAGAAAGAGAGTGGAGGCTATGTGGTGAGCCAAAGGAAAGAGTGAGTCACCCGTAATTCTCCTAACAGGAGCACAGTTACCAGCAAAATGCACTGTACTAAAAATGACAGAAAAGGCAAAATCCTGTCCCTCCTGGGGTTTATAAGTTATGTTAGAGCTCAGGACATGATATCCCAAAATACAGAAGCTTGACATACTGACTATTTTAAGCTTAAGGAAATGGAGGAAGTCACAGAAGCCAGAAGTTCACTCTCCGATCTGCCTTTCTCCCCTGAAGCAGTTCATAAAACAAGTCATAAGATCACAGGGAAGATGCCCGCCTTCTCCTGGGAAGTCTGAGAATGGAAACAAACAGGCCTTAGTCAGAGTCATTATATCAAACCCTCTAGCCTTCCAGTCACGTCCCTGCACAACGCGCTATGAAAATCATTCTCCCCAGACCTCTGGATCTTCATTTCTGACGTCTCCTACACAACATAAAAGTTTTATTCAATGCACATTTATGATTTTCTTTAGTCGATCTGCCTTTTGTTATAGGGGTATCAGCCTTAAATGGGTGAAGAGGTAAACTGAAATAAACCTTCCCTCCTTCAGCAACCTTTCTCAGACATTTGCCATAGCAAGGAGACAATGAATACAATGATTCTGCATTGTAACTCTTCTGGCCTGCAGATCAACATCCTACTGCATACTTGAGTCTCTTGGGTATTTCAAAGTCACCTAAAAAAAAAATTCAATTACAATTAGAAAGTCTTTCTCTCTTTCTTTCTCTCTCTCTTTCTTTCTTTCTCTCTTTCTTTCTTTCTCTCTTTCTTTCTTTCTCTCTCTTTCTTTCTTTCTTTCTTTCTTTCCTTCCTTCCTTCCTTCTTTCTGTGTTTATTTATTTATTTGTGTTTTTATTTTTACATCCAGACCACAGTTTCCCCTCCCTCCTTTCCCCTCCTCTACCTACCTTCCCTGCCCCCTCACCCCCTAATCCACTCCTCCTCTGTTTCTCTTCAGAAAAGGATAGGCCTCCCATGGATATCAACCAGCCTGGCCACATCAAGTTGCATCAAGATCCCTTGTATCTGCTTTAAGGAATATATATGATAAACACAATAAGAATTATCTGCTGTTCTTACTGCATTTTCGATACCATCAATAGTTGTTATGTGTCATATTTTGATGAACCACCTCAAAATAATTATTATTATTTAGGTTACTATTCCATGGGCCAACCATTTCCCAGGGTTCATCTGTGTGGTGCGTATGGTTATCTGCCTGTCATTGAGACAGCTGCACTTCTTACAACAGAGGTAGCAGGGCTGTTTGTCCCTCATCATTTACCAGGCTACCTCAGGGTTTCTCACATGGCAGAGTTCCAAGGCGGGGAGAGGAAGTACACCAGTCTCTTGAGGGCCAGGCTCAGAACCCGATCGTCATTCCTGCCATCATGGATTGATCAAAGCAAGCTGTAATGCCAGGCAAGATTTAAGGGGTAGAGAAACAGAAGACCCACAGAACTACATTGAAAACAGATGTGGCTACAAGGAAGAGAATAATTGCAAACAATCTACCACGTCATCAGTTTTAAGACATACCATTGTTATATGATCTGTAATTCCAAGATGACTGTAAAAGGGGAGAAAGCCATCCATGGACAAGAGACACCAGTGATTGTCAGATACATTTCAATACCAGAGATATTTAAGTGTAGAAAACATATACATCATAAATCAGTGAGATACACTAGTTAGAAAGTCATAGCTTCTATAATATAGAATAATTTATTTATATATAACATACATAAACATATATAACTGGGCAAGGTGATGAGAAGTGCTGAGAATAGGAAAGCCAAGGTCAACATAGTGCCCAGGGCAGACTTCATTGCAAAGGGTGGAACCAAGGCTATAAACATTTGATGGAGTTTTACAGAGAGCTTGGAAGAGCCAATAGCAAAATCCAGGAGTAAGAATCTTCCTGTAGCCAGGCTTGGTGATGTATGCCCTTAATCCCAGCACTTGGGAGGCAGAGGCAGGCAGTTCTCTGTGTTTGAAGCCAGCCTGGTCTACAGAGCGAGTTCTAGGACAGCCAAGGCTACACAGAGAAACCCTATTTCAAAAAGCAAAACAAAACAAGGAAGAATCTGCCTGTCTGTTCACAAAATGGAAAGTTTGGTGAGGGTGGGAAGAGCAGTAAGAGATGGCCTCCAACTTGCCCCTCAGGCACAACCCAGAGCCAGCTGGAAAAGTCAAAAGCACTTTACCTGAGATCTCAGACATGGCAGTTCTGGAGACTTGGATTCAAATAGCTTCCGTTTGGTGTTCCCAAAGCTGCAGAGAAAGCAGGGTCTGAAAGAGGAAATCAAGAAAAAGGGACCTGGTTGCAAATGAGGAAGGACCAGCACTGTGTGTCAGGGCCTCTGTGACCTAGAGAAGATGAAAGAGTGTCTAGACTCAGTATGGATGTCCATTAAGCAAGACTCCGGTAACTCCTTGGTGGGTACCTTGCATCTCCAGGCATCATGGAATTATTCTTCCAAGCTGTCTACAGTCAGAGGACCACCTCCTTAGGTAGCAGCTGTAGTGGTCATGGTGTGGAAGTCCCTTGCCCTTACTGGCCTCCAGATGCCATTGTGAATGGCTTTCAGTGTTGTTTTCATTAAAAAATGGTTTTTCGTTCTCACAGAGGTGATGAGGAGGAAGATCCTAAAGACTTTTTTTTCTTTATTAAGAAATTTTTTTTTTTTTTTTTGGTTTTTCGAGACAGGGTTTCTCTGTGTAGCTTTGCACCTGTCCTGGAACTCACTTGGTAGCCCAGGCTGGCCTCGAACTCACAGAGATCCGCCTGGCTCTGCCTCCCGAGTGCTGGGATTAAAGGCGTGCGCCACCACCGCCCGGCGAAATTTTTTTATTCATTTTACATACCAACTACAGATCCCTCTCTCTTCCCTCCTCCCACTCCTCCCCGAACCTTCCCCCCCAACCCACCCACCCCCATTACCTCCTCCAAAAAGGCATAAGGAGTCAGCAAAGCCTGGTACATTCAGTTGAGGCAGGTCCAAGCCCTTCTCCCTGCCTCAAGGCTGTGCAATGTGTCCCACCATAGGTAGTGGGCTCCAAAAAGCCAGCTCATGCACCAGGGATGGGTCCTGATCCTACTACCGGGGGCCTCTTAAGTAGACCAAGCTATCTCATTTATGCAGTCCCATGCAGGCTCCACCGCTGTTGGTCTAAAGTTCATGAATTCCCACTAGCTTGGTTCAGTTGTCTCTGTAGGTTTCCCCATCATGATCTTGCTGCCCCTTGCTCATAGAATCCCTCTTCAGATCATGAAGACTTTCAATGAGATGGAAGGCATTAGCAAAAGGAACTCCACATGGAGATTAAATGCTGTGATGGGGTCATTCTGCTGCTGGAAAACAGTGGGAGGCCATTGTAGTGGTCCATAGATGTGATGGTAGTTTATCTGGGGTGACAGTCATAGTGAGCCTGTGATTATGGGTATGCATCGGAGGTAGGTGGATGTGAGCTGTGACAAAGCAGGATTACTCCCAAGAAGTCTTGTCCTGGGGTAATGGAGGACATTCACCAAGGCAGTGACCAAAGGTAGAGGGCATGAGGTCATGACTTACATTGTCTAAACAGAAAGCTTAATTTTTGTCTATGAGGTACTTAAATACTTTTGGTAGCGTTCTTTTCTCAGTGAACTTGTACCCACAGATTAGTGTAGCTCTTGCCTTTTTCAAAGAAGCTCCTTTTTACAGCAGATGGGGATTACCACAGAGAATCCCAACTGATCAACATGCAGAAAATAAGGGACCAACCGTGGGGTGCCTTTCCCCACACAGAAGATCTATAACACAATCCCTACACCCAAGGCTAAGAGAACATTGCAGAAGTGGCAGGCAGGAAGTTTGTTATAGCCACTGTAGAAGAGGAAGAGAGATGGAAATAGTGTCATCTGGATGAGTCAGGCCTATTACCCCCATGGACTCCCCGCAATATAGCTGCCTGCACAGGACCGCACCAGTCAAGGTCTAGGATGGAAGGGGGAAGAGTCACAAGGCCCCACCTTTAGTTGAGGAGCTACAAGCAGTCACAGATGCTGAGGGGGAGGGTCATGTTTTCTTCAGGAGACAGCCCAGTGTAGGTTGTCCTTGCCCCGGTGGTCACACCCATGTGCACACAGGCAACACCAGCTGGACTCAGAAGGTTGAAGGAAAATAGCAACAGTAATTACAGAAGGAGAAGGAGAACACGGTTTGAGAGGGAGTTTCGGGGACACCGGAGAAGTTGAGAGGGGTGGATATCACCAAAATGCATTGTACTCAAGTGCGAAATTCTCAAAAAAATTTAAATGAAAAATAAAATCAAAGGAAATGTCTTATCACCACTCAATATTTCCTTATAAAAACTTTAATAAAAATAACTATGATCTATTTCCTTTATGGATCTACCTTGATCTTTTTAGTGATCCCGTACTTGCAAGTATTTCCTTTGTTTCTAAATGTTGTGTGACTTTCAATGGCTTCAGTGAAAAACCTCTGTAAGTGCACACACGTATGTGCACATGTGGAGGTCAGAGGTCAGCCTCATACTGTTCCTCATGATGGCCATTGCGGAGGTTTAAGGGAAAATGACTCCCAAACGGAGTGGCACTAATGGGAGGTGTGGCCTTGTTGGAGTAGGTGTGGTCTTGCTGGAGGAAGTGTGTCAC